TATTGATGGTTTCGGGAATGCCACAATTGTTTTGCCAAAAGGCACCATCCTGCATATTGAGGATGCGTTTCTAAGCAGTAGATCAAAAAGGAATATGCTTAGCTTCAAAGATATACGCCGTAATGGGTATCATATTGAGACTATTTATGAGCAAAATAAAGAATATATTGACATTACCTCTTATAAGATGGGCTTGAAGACCATCCATGAGAAGCTGGAAGCTTCTTCTATGGGTTTGTATTGTGTCATAATTAAGGTTGTTGAAACCTACTCCACCATATCCTTGAGATTGGTAAACCCTGATCAGTTTGGATTATGGCATGATCGCCTTGGTCACCCTGGCGCTTCAATGATGCGTAGAATAATTTAGAATACAAAAGGGCACCCTTTAAAGGATACAAAGGTATTGTTGTTCAAAGATTATAATTGTGAAGCTTGTTCACAAGGAAAACTCATTACCAAACCTTCTATAACAAAGGTTAATCTTGAATCCCCTTTATTCCTGCAAAGAATTTAAGGTGATATTTGTGGACCAATATAACCACCAAGTGGACCGTTTCGATATTTTATGGTACTAGTGGACGCATCCTGTAGATGGTCCCATATTTGTCTATTATCTACGCGCAATGTCACCTTTGCCCATTTACCTGCGCAGATTATAAAGCTCCTGGCATAATTCCCTGATTATCCAATTAAAAGCATAATGATGGATAATGCTGGTGAATTTACATCAAAAAGTTTTGATACGTATTGTGCTTCACTCAGAATCGAGGTTGAGCACCCGGTCGCATATGTTCTTACTCAAAATGGATTGGTAGAATCCTTAATTAAACATATCCAAATCATTGCCCGCACTCTATTATTGAGAACGAATCTCAACGATACAGCATGGGGTCATGCAGCTTTGCATGCGGCAGCCCTAATAAGATTGCGCCCCACTGCTAGTCTCTTATAATCTCCCCTTCAAATGGTTCTTGGTTATGAACCTGATATTTCACATTTACGCACCTTTGGTTGTGCAATACAGGTGCCTATGGCACCGCCAAAAAGAACGAAAATGGGTCCTCAACACCGTTTGGGCATTTATGTTGGGTTTAATTCACCGTCCATCATTAAGTTCTTGGAACCAACTACTGGTGATCTTTTTACTGCTAGATTCGCAGATTGTCATTTCAATGAGACTATGTTTCCATCAATTGGGACACCTAAAACTGACATGGCTGCGAAGCAAAAACCAATTAAGGTTTTCTCCTGGAATGAGAAAAAATTATCTCAATTAGACCCAAGAACTCCTGAGTGTGAAAATGAGGTGCAACGCATAATCCATTTACAGGCTATGGCCAATAGACTTCCTGACGCATTTAATGATGCTACCAAGGTAACGAAGTCTCATATTCCAGCTGTAAATGCTCCAGCTAGGATAGTTGTTCCCGAAGGACAAGCTAAAATGGATCAAAATCCCCCACACTTGAAACGCGGTAGACCGATAGGATCAAAAGACACTGTTCCTCGAAAACGAAGGGGAAAGAATCAGAAATCTGCTCCAGAAGAGCCTGGTGTTATGATTGCCCCCAAAGAGCTTATTGCCCCTGAAGAGGCACAAACCCATGAAAAGATCACCAACCCTAGGAATACTGAGAATCCCATTACATATTGTAATGAGATTTGGGATTGGAATGAAATCATCATTGATGATGCTTTTGTATTCTCAGTTGCTCATAAAATTATGAATGATGATTGTGAGCCGCAATCTATTATTGAATGCCGTCAAAGGCAAGATTGGTCTAAATGGGAGGAAGCAATTAAGGCTGAATTAGCTTCCCTAGCCAAATGAGAGGTTTTTGGACTCATAACTCGTATCCCCGATAATATAAAGCCCGTTGGATATAAATGGGTATTTGTCCAGAAACGAAATGAGAAAAACGAGGTTGTCAGGTATAAAGCCCGACTCGTTGCCCAAGGATTCTCCCAAAGACCTGTGATTGATTATGATGAGACTTATTCACCTGTGATGGATCTGATTACATTTCGTTTTCTCATTAGCCTGGTACCATCTGAAAGATTGGAAATGCGTCTTATGGACGTTGTGACGGCATATCTATATGGCTTATTAGACTTGGATATTTATATGAAAATTCCCGAGGGATTCAAAATGTCTAATCCATGCACTTCCCGTAACTTATTCTCAATAAAATTGCAAAGATCTTTGTACAGGTTAAAGCAATCCGGTCGCATGTGGTATCAACACCTAAGTGAGAACCTAATTAAGGAAAGGTACAAGAATGATCCTATCTGCCCATGCGTGTTTATTAAGAAATCAGAAACCGGATTTGCTATTGTAGCAGTTTATGTCGACGATATAAATTTAATTGGAACTCCAGAAGAGTTAGCTAAAACTGCTGAGTATTTGAAAAGGGAATTTGAAGTTAAAGATTTGGGTAAAACCAAACTTTGTCTTGGTCTAGAGCTTGGGCATAAAGCAAATGGAATAATCGTCCATCAATCAGCATACATTGAAAGATTACTTAAACGCTTCAACATGGACAAGGTTCACCCATTGAGCACCCCAATGGCTGTAAGGTCTCTAGATCCCCAAAAGGATCCGTTTCGTCCTAGAGAATCTGATGAAGAGATACTTTGGTCATGAAGTACCATATCTCAATGCAATTGGGGCTTTGATGTACTTGGCACAATGTACGAGACCAGATATCGCTTTTGCGGTAAATTTATTGGCACGTTTTAGTTCTGAGCCAACTCGAAGACACTGGAATGGAGTTAAACATATTTTTCGTTATCTCCGAGGAACCATAGATCTGGGATTATATTATTCCAAGGATTCCACTACCTCTGGTTTAGTTGGATATACCGATGCTGGATATAGATCTGATCCACATAAAGCTCGCTCTCAAACCGGTTATTTATTTTGTTATAACGGCACCGCCATTTCTTGGCGTTCTACGAAGCAATCGCTAGTAGCTACATCTTCCAACCACTCTGAGATTATTGCTTTATATGAAGCTGGAGGAGAGTGTGTTTGGTTAAGATCCGTTATAACATATATTCACAATTTTTGTTGTTTAACACCGGTTACAAATTCTCCCACTATAATTTATGAAGATAATGCTGCTTGTGTTGCATAAGTTAGGGGAGGACATATCAAAGGTGATAGGACCAAGCATATCTCGCCGAAATTTTTCTATACTCACGAACTCCAAGAAAGTCGACAAATTGATGTTAAGCAGATTCAATCCATAAATAATCTTGCAGATTTTTTTACCAAATCATTGCCAACGTCAACTTTTGAGAAATTAGTATATGGCATTGGTATGCGGCGAGTTCATAAGATGCAAGATTGACTAGCCCAGCAGCGGCTATACAGCTCAAATTGAGGGGGAGATATTATGAACTATGCATTGCACTCTTTTTCTTTCTGTCTGGTTTTTTCCCACAGGGTTTTTCCAGCTTAAAGTTTTAACGAGGCAATTAACGCATCTACAAAAGGGAGAGATCTTAAAATTTGTGCTGTGTACTCTTTTTCCATTTTGTCCTGTTTTTGTCCCACTGGGTTTTTCCGGCTTGAGGTTTTTAATGAGGCAGTATCATTCAATGCACATTCATAATATAATGAATACAATGAATATTCAAGGGGGAGTGTTATGAAATACATGAATGAATATTCATTATATTCAATGTACCTATTATGGTACATTTGTAACCTACATACATGAATGTATATTCAATGTACCTATTATGGTACATTTATAACCTACATTCTACGTATAATCTCCAATGAATGTTCATCTCCCTATTCAAAGTTAGAGTAGGACAGATCAAAAAAAAAAAATTCTCCTAACGCTTCGTTGTCAAAATTTCGATTTTATTATCATCATTTTTCAAAACTATTGGTGAGGCTCGTGGTCCAAGATTTCCACCTTGACCTTGACAATAGAGGGAAATTCCCCCCCCCCCCCCCCCCATGATTCAATCTCTCTTTTTTTTATTTTAATCTTTTGCACCAAAGACCCTAATCATTTCCAATAGAATTGGAGCAACGAATTCCAAATATATTATTTTTTAACTTCACTTATAGATGTTCTTATAAGTTTGAATGCTTGAAAACTCGGCTATGCTTCACCTTTGGTAACATTCTCGTGTCACAGTGATCTTCTCGTCCCGTCACGAATAAAAATAATCAATCAAGAGACAAGGGATCACTGGAGAAATGCCCGGGGACGGTGTCTTCTCGTGATTTTGAATCTTAACGAGCTCGGCCGACCTGTTGAGTTGAAAATTGGAGCAATGTGTACGCAGGATCGTGTCTACTCGGAATCGTGGCTACTCTTATGCGCGGTCATCATGGGTTTAGCTAAAAGAATGGGCCGTATTCAATACATTGACATTAATGATATGTACATTCTTGTTTTCTTATAAATAGGAGTTTAGTTTTGGTCATTGTGGAAGAAATGAGAACATAATGAAAAGAGAAAATATATATCTTTGTTGTTTATCTGTATTCTTTATTTAATCTCTATTCTCTCTATTATATACTTGCAACGCAATATTTTACAACATAATGCACATTTTAAAAGGTTTTAAGTTGATGGCCTGCGAGAAGCGCTTTTTCTTTTTTAAAAAATAAAAAAAAATTAAATAGAAACATAATAAGGTACTCCGGCGGCATGGGTGATCAGGATCTTGCCATGAGACCGACCAGAGGACCGGATGGCATGGGGTGCTCGTGGACCGAGCGCACGAGGAGGCGGCGCGGGTGAAAAGGGCTGCTTTCTTTGTGCATGAGAGCTTCAGTTGGGGGGAGGCGACAAACAAATAGGAAAAACTACACATTGAATAGGACTAGTTGCTGAGAGAACACTTGAAATTATGAGCCGGGTCTTGATCCAAGGGCCACGTCGGACTTGTTCTCCAACTCGGTCTGCATCGGCGAGAAGGCGATCAACCACGAAGACTGCTTTGTCCTCAAGCTTGAAGCTGAGCCGTCCATGCTGAGGGCCAGGAGCAGCAGCAACGTCGAGATAATCTGGCACACGCTGTGGGGCTACTTCAGCCAGAGGACCGGCCTCTTGGTCCAGTTGGAAGACTCTCACCTCTTAAGGATCAAGTCGTTGAGCTCCGAGAGTGTCTTTTGGGAGATGACCATGGAGTCTCCAATCCAGGACTACCGGACCATTGACAGTATAAACATCGCTCACGCCTCGGTGTCCTTGTTTAGGTTCGGTGAGAACTCGGAGAGCCATTCCAGGATGCGGATGGAAGAGGTCCGGGCCATCGAGGAGGTGGACTTCAACATCAAGGGGTTGTTGATGGACTGTTTCTTGCCTCCGGCTGATCTGAAGAAGGAGGAGGACGCGTGCATGGTCGTGCCGAGCTATGCCCAAGTCCCGTTCAATGTTTGGTCGAGCTCTATGAAGATGAGCGCTTCGAAAGTCGTCGCTTTGGACATAATCGAACGAGTCATACAATATCGAAGGAGATGAAAAGCTGTAAATTGAACTTCGTTCAATCCTCCAACATCTTTTTGTAAATACACGGACGATCGTCGTCCGTTGCCTCGAGCGCAGAGCAGAGTTATATAGGTCAAAAAATTCCAAGTTAAAAGCAGAGTTATATGGGTCAAAAAATTCCAAGTTAAAAGCGATGAAATGGTGTATACCACGATTTTCATCCCATTTGATTGTTTTCTCTGAATTCATTCTATAGAAATAGATACTCTCTGACGCCCGCGTCCTATAAAATGTTGGGCAGATAAGCCTTTGTACGTAAAAGGGATTCCTGCGACTGAGTTGATAATATATATATATATATATATATGATTGGGCCTTTTCCTTGACACTATTGTTTGAATTTGTGACAGTACATGCATTTCTTCGTTCGCCAGAAAAGATAGAATACATTTCTTCAACCTCAACCCAATAGCAATTTGCTTGCATTACAGATATACAAACAAGACCCTTGAAATGGTTTTGCTGCTATTGTGGTTTCTGCCGCCGTCTCCGGCTAACGCTGCATTGCGCGCTCCTTTGGTGGTTCAGGCTTTCTTGGCGTCCTGTAGAATCGAGATGAGCTGTTCCACTGTTTGCAAGACGAAACTAGCATCTGGAAGATGGAAACCAGCGAAATATTCATCCTCGGAAAATTCCACTCTTTTCAATGTGCTCTTGTAGCTTTCGGTTGCTGATCTTGGGTGACCCCTTGCGACGGATATCTGCAATGGCAGAGAAGATGGAAGGAATTTTTCTGAGCAACGAGGCACAAAGTACGCGCTCATACTTTACCCAAAATCTATGGGAAATCCGATTGACCCTCTCTTGCTACGACAAAACTCGATTAACACCGAACTTTCAAAAAATGCAATGGGCTACAGAACTACATTGAAGTACAAGGGGTTTCAATCGGATTTCACTCAAATACAAGAGGTGTCCGCAAAATTCTAACCAGAATATTCAGCAGAAGTAGCACACAGGGATTAGAGTAATTCAATTGTCAATTTGTCATAAACCAGGACTTAAAGAGTATTGACACAACTTTTTATTAATCTACACAGCAAGAAGTAATGTCCTGTCCGATATTTCAAGACAACACTCACAACTCAGAAGGCTTACAGTAAATCTCGGATGTAGGCATATCCAAAGGTAATATTCTTATTTTCTATTCAAACTGTGGGACTGAATCAAACATCAGCTAATGGCAGAAAATTTTGTGTGTGTGTGTGTGTGTGTGTGTGTGTGAGAGAGAGAGAGAGAGAGAGAGAGAGAGACATAATGTTTTTCTCCCAAATCAAGGAGCCAAAACTTCCAGTGCGGCGAAAAAGTTCCGTCGATTTTAACATTTATGTTTGTCCAACCAGTGTGGTGAAACTCGACTCTATCCAACCCACATGCCAATCCACTGCCAATGGCTTTGACATATGCTTCCTTCAAGCACCAATATCTGTAGAAGTCACGAGCCAAATATTACCAGTAAGGAAGCTGATCGAAAATCCTGATGCTACGCCAAATGCAATGCAAATGAATATCACTACACATCCACAGGGAAACTGTTAATCTAGAGATCACCATAGATATTTCATTTGTTCTATTTCCTGGGTCTTTCCCTGAGTCATATCTGGCAAGTTCCTTCTTGAAGTTTGTTATCCAAATAGGTTGACTTAAGTTGGATAGGGTCATCATTGTAACAATGAACACAGTTCTCTAATAGCTAAACTCCCACCCAACTTATCATGTTATGGGAGCAAGAGACTCCACGTTCCCTTCCTCGCATCCTCCTCTTTATGAGTAGCTATTTGAACTGCACATATCTTCGGTGAACTGCCTTGCGCATGAAGGGAAGTTCGACAGATATATGAGTTCCACAATGTTCCACGATAACTTCAGTCTTTTAGGTATTTGTGATGTCATGCAGTTTATCAACCATAATAAAGGCCGACAACTTAAAAAAATTGAAGTCCAAATGCTGAGGTCTATAAATAGTCTACTTATAAATAATCTGAAACTTCCGAAAAATGTGAACCTAAAAAAGATGCCATCTTCCTTCTGATTATGCAATCAATGATTCACTAACTCAAAGATGAAAGGACAAGGTTTCTTTTAAGGGTGAGAGGCCTTAATTACATAGAGAGACAAAAGTGTTCACCTAGACCATGCCAAAAACCACTGCAAGCAGTGCTATGGAATAGAGTACATGAAGGATACACGCACAGCAACAGATGCAGAGGTAAAGAAGCCAAGAGCAGAAGAAAGGGTATCCTCTAAATACTGCCAATCTCCATTGTCACCACACACTATCCATTTACAGCCAATCCTCCTTAAAGTGCTACTATGAAAAAGTAACTGGATGATTCGTCCATACAAATCTTACCTGGTATTGGCTATGAGAACAGATAGTAACCTTCATGGTCCATAATTTGAAGTTAAAAGAAGAGCAAAGCAAGTGACTACTCACTTTTCGATCAGTTGTTCCACACCAAATTAGCACACAAACTGATAATGATCGGACAACCAGTTGACATCTTCCGCTCGCTGTAAAAATATTAGCAACAAATCCTAGATCTCCGTTAGGGCACAGATATATTCATTCTCGCTAGACACAATTGGTTGTAAACATTATGTCCTACGTAAGTGCTATCAACTGCATCTGCAAGGACATTATTCAAAGATACAATCAATACTGTGTATCCTTACTGAAAGGGGAAGGGAAAGCCGTAATAGTGTTTTACTGTTCTTATTTGTCAATAATAAGTTGCACAGAGCATCATCCATGTCAATCCCATTTTATATTGTCTGAATTGTCTAATAGAGGCACAAGAAGAGCACAAGGCACGATTTTGAGCGATAAATGTCAAAAAATTACGAGTATACACCTTTGAACCACAGATGAAGAGGGCGATTGAATGAATTATCCTGATTATTATAGGTAGAGGACAACACTACCTGTAAAATTCAACCAAAATTTGTTCTTCATTGCCAGCACCTATTATAAATTCCCACTCCAATCTTGAGAAATATGATGAGAAGTTTTGAATGAATTCAGTAACCGTTTCTTTCCACGGAATAGTGCAAGAAACAATATCCAACCCCACAAGGCATAGTGGTTCTGATGCTATTGCCACATAATCACCATGATGGGAGACATTAAAATTGAAATTGGGAAACTCCGAGACATCTTTATCACATTCCTTGAGAAGAAAAGGCAAAAGGGAAACAGCAGAGCATGTTAACATTTTGGAAGGTCACTGAAAAGATCACTGGAAAAACATAACGCTTCACACAGGATAGGCAGTTATAGAAAACATCAAACCAAAAGGGAGCTCATGGCAAGAGAAAATCGACTACCCACGATACATTTACCTAGATAAATGCATCTCCCAAATAATCATCGGCTTTCAGCATGCTCATGATTGCATTACAACGAATCCCAACATATTAAGGCATCTATAATTCCAAATCCAGTTTTGTTTTCCACATATGCAACTCTCACATAGCTAAATTCTGAAAAGCAGATGTCCATCGCTTGCTTAGCTATAGACAAGTTTCTCTAATCGACCTTTGCTCTAAGTTGTTAGAAGCACCCACATAAAAAACAGCTTGCGTGCTAGTCCTCTCACATTAATCTATTATTCATGGTAAGCAAATAATCTGCAAGAGAGTAGAACAATAGCGATGCAACTACACAAGCACACAATGCACATCTCGAAATGTTGAAATTTACGCCAGATGAATGAATATAATTCCAACCATCCAAAGACATCCCCTTTCAACCGTGTTTTTGAGGAAAACTCCCCATTTGACCATGTTTTAGAAGCAACTAATGGATGAATATGAAAGATTGAAAAGCATAGACTCTTACCAATATCCACAGGCCAAAAACAAGTTAAGAGTTCAACAAGCTTTGTCCCAGAAGGCACAACTAAGAAAACATGCATAGAAAAGAGCCCCCTGTAGAAATAAGTTCAACCAAGCCCAGAAAGAAAAGTCATCCTCAATCCTCACCTGTTTCGACCAAAAAAGTCCTCACCTGTTGAAGTAGCATTTCAACCAAAAATTTTCTTATCTTCTCCTTTTGATCTTAAAAAACAAGTTAATAGATAGGTCTTACCCATTACCACTACAACTAATTGAATACTCATGACTCGACATAGAGGGAGGACATGAGAGAAGCTCACAATTATATTTTTCTCTATCTTTGTCATAAACTATTTCCAGAATAGACGCGGATATGTGTTTTCTTTCGTATATCGTGTCGACAACATTGTACAAGCTTGCCGCGCTTACGAAATTTGACAAAACAAAGCGAATCCTCGGCCTTTGACAAATGTCGGTTTTGCGCGGAAATCACCCTCCCAGTTAAGTTTGCCCACACGTGAACCGAACGATCAAAATTACTGAAACCCAAGATCAGAACCACACAAAATAACCGAAGAAAGGAAAACTGAAGTACAGTCAGGAACAACTGCAATCATACCAGATACGGTTTGCCTTCCAAGGTGCGTTTGATGCTAATTTGCTAGTATGGGATTCCCAGCACTTGATGCAACAGAGCATACTGAAGCAACCGACTGACCAATGCCCTCTTCCTATCCTCGCTTTTAACGAATCTACCCACGTAAAGAAAAAAGATCGAAAAGCCATTTTGATGTTCTCTTTCGGTTCTGCATCACTCTCCTCTTGGACCCAATTGACCACAGCAACCAAAGATGAAGAATACCAACACGAGAGAGCTCGAAAGAACCTGAGGATTGAGGAGCGTTGAGAAGGAGGGAAGAGAGAGAGGGCCGAAGAGAAGTCTTGGGAAGATGGGCACCACTTTGATGTGTTCACCAACCATCTGCGAACTCCCTCCTCCATTGATGGACCTTCACTTTCTGGATAGTGGATACTCGTCTGCTGTCATTACATTGATTTCTACGGTAGATTTTAGCCTGTTAATTAGTTATTGTATTACATTTGATTCTTAATTTGGAGTTCAATTCTTTTATTGATATCTTAATATTCTTATTAGACAGTTTTGTTAGGATTAATATAGCAAAGAATCCTAAACTATCATCATCTACACCAAAATTCCAAACTTTTTTTATATCCTAAGATCAATAATCTATATCCACTGACATACCAATAGCAAAACTTTTTTTTTATTACCAAAATCCCTGAATTATACCCACTAAGTAGAGGCGGTAAAATGGATCTAAAAATCCATTTTTAGCTTATATTGAGTAGGTCAGGTCACTGATATGTTACCTAAAATTTTCAAACAGGTTCAAATGGGTGCGAAAAATAAATGTCTAAATTCATATGTATTCTAATGGGTTATCGATTTTAAACTTAATACGAGCAAGGACGTGACATGCCTCGATTTAATAGAACCATTCACCTAAATCATATGCGAAAAATAAATGTCTAAATTCGTATGTATTATCATAGGTATATCATTTTGGGATTTTTTATGATTAAAAAATTAATTTGGGATATATTTGTCACAAGTGTACTAATATGAGATTTTTCGTGGTATTAACACTATCTGAAAAGTGCATTAACTAATATATAGATAATCGTACTTATATTAATTTAAATATTATTCCTAATCGTTGACATAGATTAAATTTTTTAGCTTTTGTATTTCGTGTTTTCTTAACTACATTTAGCTACATTTGCAGGTTAATAAATAAAAATAACGGGAATATAACTCTAAATGAGGTTCTAGTTTTTCCAATTATAGTGATCATAAACACGCATATAGGATCAATCAGACCAAATAACAAAAATGTTATGAAAAAAATTGGCATATCTTTTATCGATTCATGAATGGATTAAAATAAAAAGACATTCTAAAATACGAGTAATAACGTAATTTCATCCCTCAACCTAAAAGAGATGCCTTTTTTCCTTCTGATTTGATTTCGCTATCAAAAGTTGCGGGGATAGATTGAATAAATCAAAAGTTCAATGATTAAATCGAACATTTAGGAATAGTTCGATGATTACATTGATCATATTAAAAGTTCAAAGACGACATAGATTATATTAGGAAAACTTTCGATCATAGATTATACATGAATTTTCCAGAACCATTAGGAAAACTTTCACTCCTATTGAATGAGCTTGGCATAGGAAAATTACATAAAAAGAGACTCTAGTGCATCCAATGATGGTGCATAAATAATCAAACCCATCTTTGACGTGAAATAATCATCAATCAAGCACAAAAACCATTCTATCGACTAAGAGAACCGCATGTCATTCCTTTGATGTAATTTACCCAATTCATGTACATCCTCTGAAGCAAAATTCATGTAATGTTAATAACTGATGAAAAGCCGTTCTCGATAATCTATTGACAAAACAAGATTCCCAGATTTCATGCATCAAGCCTCAGGTGGGCAAATATGGAGCTCATCCATTGAAAACCTCATCTTCCTACCATATCGAACTACCAAAACTATTAACCTTGGATGGCACAGCAAAAGACTGGCCCGCATCTGGTCAGCAATTTCTCTCTCATGCCAACTTTTTCTTTCCCTCCTCCAAGCGCGTATGCTTGGTCTTTTTATTTGGCTCAAATAAACCCAGGTATGAGGAACCAGTGTCTCCTTGACAGATTCTCTGGAATTCACCTGTCTCCGGTAGTTGAGAGCCACCGTTGACGAGGCCGGTCTTAATCCAGGCAGTATTGTTCAAGTCTAGGGCCACAGACATCAGGTCTAGGGTTGAGTAGGAGGGAGGTTCCTCATAGTCAACAAAGTCGGGCCCTAACAACGAACTTTCAGAATGGAAACCAGTAGGAGAAGCACAGCAACCATAGCCACAATGCGAAGGAATCTTAGGATCGCCATGAGCGTCATCAAGAAAATTGTGGACCCCATGCTCTGTTTTAAAGGCCAACATCGAAGGTCCTAGAGCATGGATTTCCTTCGAAAATCCTGAGCCAACTGAGGAGCTTTTTTCTGGTTTGTATATCCTAAATGCACTAAACCGTGGCTGCGGACGAGAAACTGTGTACTGCGTTGTTTCAGCAACAGAAAGACCATCCCTTCTTTGTGCTTCCATTTCATTCTGTTTCGGTCCATTCTCGACAGTAATCTCTCTTCCATCTCTGGCCCTGTTTGATTGACTATCCCCTGCAGATAGGGTCTCCTCGGAAGATGCATTTGTTTCCACAGGCCAGCTATCCTCCATCATATCTGTAGGTCTGGTTTTGGACCTCCCAAGCCCTATGCCCTTGCGCCTTAATGTAGAATTCCAATGATTCTTGATTGCATTATCTGTTCTACCGGGCAGGAGCTTTGCTATAGCTGCCCATTTGTTTCCATGCATAGCATGGGCTTTAATTATGATAAGGTCCTCCTCATCTGCAGGAAGAGTAAACAACCATCTTTTAAATTGTTGATAAAATGTAAGAAGGCAAGACAATTCTAAGTTGGACTTTCAATAAAGACATCAATCATCCCATAGATTCAGCTCAGCAGCAGCTTCAGCAATATTTTCATTGTTTTGAGTAGTGAAGTGGCATAGAAGAAAGCCACTTGTTTCGAAATTACAGAAAACGGGCTTCCCATTGAAGCAACTTTGAGAAAGAAATTAGTCACCCAATGAATTATGCCACCAGCAGCTTCACCAATTTTATCAACACTCTAGATAGAAGTAACAAGCCTGTAGTGCTGCAATTACCGGATCTTGACCTAGCCCTCAAGCCTTAAAACAAAATTAGCATTGCAAAAACAAGTCACATTAGCACCAGGCAAAAGCTACAGATGTCAAACGGTTCCCCCAAATGCAGGTCAGATCTCACCCTTCTTGGCACGTTTGATATCAAATTTGCAAAAAATTCAAAAGAGTGACTTGAGGGTCATAAAAGCTAATTGCCACTTGGCAATAGAAAAATTAAATCCAAGTGAAGCAAGTATAAAGATGACACGAAGTGTATGAGTGGTAGTACTTAAAAGATGTGAAGCAGTGAGAGGCAAAAAGCAGTTGAATCAAATTCAAGGAACAGATAAGAGATTCAAGATCATAAAAGATGAGATGGGGTTAGATAGCAACGGGCAAGCTCCAAAACAAACAAACAAAATAGCTCAGGATATGATCATATTCAAGGGTTCCGAGTCAACAGAAAAGTACAGAACAGCCAAACTAAGTTACATAGGACAACTTCAGGATAACATGATCTTTCTACACCACTCTCTCTGGAGTAGACTAGGTCCTGTGGACATTTATATACTCAACACTCCTGCGTTTTAAAGGTACACGGGAGTCTTCCGGACATATATCTTCGCAGTCGAATTAAAAATCATAGGAATCAGCTCATCGTAACTAGACTAGAACAAAATCATGGAATCATTTGTCTCCTTTTGAAGTGCTGTATGGAGAAGATGATGTTCTATGGGCTACAGCACAATCATGGTAATTCATATCAGCGGCCGACCTTTTGGGGAGGGAAAAACCAAGTAACAGCCATCAAGTGCCTAACTAAACAAAAGCCATTGTAGCTTATACTCCTACAAGAATTATCAAAGTTTCCTCCCTTGCATTGCACATTATACAGAATCCTCGGCATGCACAGACACGCAGGAGCATGTGTGCCAGAATATGGCAGATGGCAGTAACTGTAAAATCATTTGATTTTAATTCTCGTGCAAAGTTTTCAGTGCTAGCTCTGTCAACTCTACAATCACAGTGTACATTCAGTCAATTTTCTTATAGCTCCACAGAAAAGCTTGAAGTTCCCTGTCTTCAGAGATAATACACGACAATCCTTGGCATGCATACGGCACGCACACACACACCCAAGCACATGCGCGGGCAGTCACACGCCCATGCCGACGGTCACGCAACTGCATACAATTGCATGAATTTCTCTCTCGTGGAAGATATTGGGTGCTAGCTTAGATTACTCCACAATCTCACGAATCGATTACCTAACTTCCAAGTTTCGTTTCGGAACAAACAGCAACGGCATTTCTCAAAGAGCTTCCAATCCAGCCACAAATCCCACGCGCACGGGCAATATGCGTCAATGATCAATCAACACCGATCAAAACAATTCAACATCTTCAACTCTTCGAATCGTGTACATGGACCAAGCATTAACGAAAACCTCGCCGTTCACCACCAAGCACCAGCGCATAAACCGTTCGAACTCGGCTCAAAGGAGTGCGATGAAAAGGAAGAAGAAGAAGAAGAAGTCATTACCAGTGAACGGCTTGCGCTTGACGCCAGGATCGAGCTGATTACACCATCGGAGCCGACACGACTTGCCCGAGCGCCCGGGAATGCCGCGCGCGATCAAGCTCCAATTCCTCGCTCCGAACTTAGCCACGAGCTCAGTCAGCACCGCGTCCTCCTCCGGCGACCACGGCCCCCTCACTCTGCTACCGGCCCCTCCGCCGACCCCGCCGCCCCCGCCGCCGCCGCCGCCGCCGCCGCCGCAGCCGGCGACCGGCATTCCTCCATCTGCCGCCGCGAGTGGCAGAGGGGCCTCCTCCTCCTCCCCCTCCACCTCCAACTTCAAGTTGACGTCGGCGTCCATGGCGCTCGCGCGGTCTTCTTCGCCGGCGCTCGATTCGGCACCGCCGATTGGCTTCATCGCCGCTTGGGTTTCTCTCCAGGAACGAGAATTTCAGCCTTCTTTTTTTTTTTTTTTTGCCTTTTTAAATTTTTTCCTTCTTCTGCGCTTCGAAATTGATTTTTTTTTTCTTAAATTTTTTTTTTAGCTTCGGTGCTTTTAAAGTGAGAGAGAGTGTACCTGCCAAAACTAACTGCGAAAATGGGAGTCACGCTTGGGGGTCACGTTTTCCATTCTTCCGCTTCCCGCGACCCGGTTCGCTTGCGAAATGACTCTCGTGTCCCTGCTTAACAATTTCTTTTCAAAAAAAAAAAAGAGCAGATTTTTTTTTTTCGTTTTTTTATATGGGCAACTAAATATTTTATAGAAGGCTTTAGAAACATGAAACCTTACCTTCGCCCCTTTTTTTTCTAAAGAAAAAGGAAGTTTATCCATCTTTAATGTATCGGACATGTCGAAGCTAGAGATGAAACCATAATCTAGATTTGCAACTTTTTGCTGGAAAATCGATTTAGACGACAGCACACACCGGTCAAGGCGTCCGGGCTTTGTGTCCGAATTGACCCTCCGATGCTTAACTTAGCACTGTATGAGCTTAAGATCGACTAGGGGGTGTATTCTTAGAGAGAAAAGACAGGAGAGAGAGAATACTCGAGTGCTCGAATTACTGTTAATATGGTACTGATGATGGGTCGTTGAATAGTATTAGATAGGTGGCCGTCTGTGGATGACAAGCTATGAAAGGGTATAAAAAATGACGTCCATAACATTTTATGGATCAATGCATGTCCCGCCTTTTAAGTAGCTGTAGCGCCAATATATGCTCCATCAACTTCTCCGTTTAATTATTATGTCGCTCTATCTGTTCTCTCTCGGTGTCATTGTTACATCGTATGACAATCTTATAAAATCCTTTTATGAATTTAAACTATTTTAAAGGGCGAGATGAGGAGTGGTCTCTCATGAAATACACCGTTTTAATCTTCACTCAACTTTTCTAAATTTTTTAGACGAAAAAAAAAAACAAAAAAAGGCTTCTCGAGATTCCACTCTCTTCTAAACCTCCAAATATTTTTTGGGCTCATTTCCCTTATTGTTTTAGTATTTTTAGTGATTATTCAGACATAAGCAGGAAAATATTACAAGAATTTCCATTTGCCGGTACAGTTAAAACATGCGCGCGTCGGAGTTCTATGCTCAGGGATGGCAAGAATGTAAATATCGTGGAAGCGCGAGGGGGGCAGATGCAAAAAAATTGCCCCCGAAAGTTGTGCCTTTCCACAAGCAAAGACGACCATGGAAAAACTGCCGCGGCGTTTGAACGCTCGAGAGGGTAACGGATCGTCGTCGCCCAGAAAAATTACTTATTTGCCCTTGGGCCTCAATGTGGGCCTTTGACTGGCCCAGCCGGGCATCGTCTTTCGCGTTGATTGGGCCCGAAAGAGCCCGTTCATCGAAAGGTTTTGTATTGAGGCCCGTCGAACAAATTCACACTAATCCCTCGACTTGCGTTTAGATTAAGAACTAATTAGTGCCTAAACAGAGAAAAAACGAGAGAGAGACAGAGAGACAGAATATAAAGTCTCTATTCCCGTCAAGCTCCGGCGAGAATGCAACGGAGAAGGCGATCTGGTTCGAATCCTCGACAGATCTCGAAGTAACAAAACGCATTTGATTTCTGCGTTTTGTTACAAGAATAGATTGGTGGAGTTTTCCTATTGTTTTAGTCTCGAATTATACCGGCGGTATGCCACAATCCGGATGTAAGAATATTTGCTTCGTTCCACGGACCATTGACCCGACGAGATATTTCTGTGAAAACTAGATTGGGCGTGCTGAATTTTTCACGTTACTAATGCTCCAATGACGCGAGTGAGAAAACTGACGAGAGTATGCAGAGCCGTGATGCCAACTCGGAAAGACTAATTTAGATTTTTGAAATCGTGATTTTGTATGCGTATGTCACTTATAGGATGAACTTGTCGCATGCCTATACTTCCAGTTTGGCAAAAAGTACCGGTTGTCTTGACTGTTACATCCATTGATGAATCTTACATATTACAAAATGCACATATCCGGTATTTCAGAGAAAAAAAGAGAAGAAAGAACACCGATATGAAGTGCACAAGAAAACCAACGAGAGCATGCAGAGCACCAACTCGAAAAGACTAGTGTGGACTGTTGAAATCATGACTTCTTATGTATACGTAACTTAGAGGACGGGCTTTCAGATGCCTATACTTCCATTTTTGGCAAGGAGTACTAATTGTCTTGATAGATACATCCATTCGATTCATCTTACATACTGCAGAATGCGTCTATCATAATCTTCCGTGATATTAAGTGACGCTCGTCTCATTCTGTCGCATTGGTAAATGTATGTGATCTCTAGCCTCATCAAGCATTCTAAGTATCGACTTGCGAGTTGGTTTATGTATAAACACATTGATTATTTATTGTCTGTTTCTCTTTCTTACAAGACATGGACACTATTGAGACCACACACTGTCAAGCATTGCACATCCCACTGGAAACATAAACATTTTTAGCTCTGTCATTTGTGTTTGCGCTCGAAAACAAGAAAAATAAGATCAAGCTCGACTTGAAAGTGGATGAATTGGTCTTACTTTAGGGTTAATACCATGAAAAACTCCAAACTAGTTTATCTATGACAGTTTTACTCTAAACTAATTTTTTGACCACTAAAAATCCCAAACTGGTATACCTGTGATAAATTTACCTTCAGTTTGTTTCCGTTAAATTTTATTGTCAAATTGCTTTGTTAAATGACACTCGGCAGTTGACTGATGTGCCAGTTTTATGTTTTATCCTCCTTTTGTCATAGGTGTACCAATTTGTAATTTTTTGTGATATTAATCCAATTTAACGGAAACTAACGGAGGGTAAATTTGTCACAAATGTATCAGTTTAGAGTTTTTAGTGGTCAAAATATTAGTTTGGGGTAAATTTGTCACATGTATATCGGTTTAGAATTTTTCGTGATCAAGAAATTAGTTTGTTATGATAGATGTACTAATTTGGAGTTTTTTGTGGTATTAATCCCTTACTTTATTAGGATATAATCGAAAACATTGACCAAACATGTTTCTCGTTGCCTTTCACATCATGATGAGGTGGGAATATCCACTGAAATTGGTGAAAATAGATCATTTCAAAATCTTGACCCCGTTGCCAATAATTTCCTGACTAATACGAAATATCCCGGCTCCGAATCAAAGAAAGCGTTCTAGCCATAGATGATAACGATTATGATGTTATTTTACCAAATCTAAGAGAGAGAGAGCTTGCACAATCAGTTGCAAAGGACAACATTGGATCATATCCAAAGTCTAGTTTTAGTAGGAAAATTGTTCAAAAAGTCCTAAATCTATTTGCGATTTTGCCAATTCAGTCATAAATATTTTAATTTTGCCAATTGAGTTTTAAAAATTTTTCACGTTTGACCAATTGAATCTATCCTGCCAATTTTGGCCATAAATCACAGACGTGGACGCCGACCGTCCGACGTGGACATCGACCGTCCTACGTGGCACGGTCAGTGTTAACGTATACAATTTTTATTAATATCTTAATATGTTTACGAATTATTTATTTATTCATTCTTTTCTTTTTCCTTTTTATTTTCTTTCTTTGTTTTCCTCTCTTCTCCCTCTAGCTAGTCCTTGGGCCTCAGTGATCGGCTACAAGCCCGGTCAACCTCGGGCGAAGCTCGTCCCCGCTGGTTTCTAGCTAGGGTGAGCCTCGCCCACCCTTAGCGAGGCTCGACCCTTCTCATATTTGGTGAGGGCGAGCCTCATCCAGCCACTAGCGAGTTTGAGCCTCGCCCAGTGACGCCGAGGTTGAGCCTTACCAAGGGCAGGCGAGATCGACCTCGTCTCTGGCCAGTCGTTGGACCTTGGCCACTGGCTAGAGGAAGAAGATAAGAAGAAAAAGAAAAAGAAAAAGAAAAAGAAGGAAAAATTAAATAACAAATTCTAAAAAAAATATTATTAAAAATTGTTAGCGTTAGCGCGGAAGGGTGATGTGATAAAAGAAGTAGCCATTTGACCATTTACAAATACTGCACGCTATCACTTCTTCTATATCCATGTCCCACATGCGGTGTGAATCTTTACTAGTCAGTGTGCCAAAGGGTTGCTGCTCATGTCTATCCTCGACCGTGACATTTCAGCTCGCCGGATCCGGGCATTATAAGTCCATAGAAATTCTTAAGTGAGTTTAAAAACTCAGGAATGCAATCTCAACAAATTTTCAAATAATAAAATTCATTTGTTTTCCCTGCTTATTATTTGTTTATGTGATTCGAAATTTTGGGACCATAACCTACTACGTTAATCCTGAAATTTATCTGACCTATGTTAAGATTTCCATATGGTTTTCACAAAGCACAGTATCAAAGATCACTGCCAGTCAAATTTTTGCTGGGACATTAGTAATGTTGTTTGTTAGTGGCATAAATGATGCATTTGAACCATCGAATATGAGAGGTTAACATGAGTCCTCCCGCAAGACTTGAACTAGCCTACTCGCATTAATGAAGCACATAGCAAATGGGACTGCTTTGTTCTTTCGATAATTTTCTTTCTCACATTCGAGTTTTGCTAGCACAACAGTTTTTGGGTTACTGTTGAAATAATAACATATTTTGAGCCACGAATTCTTGAAAGAGTGGACCCCACAATATTTTTTAATTATTTATTATTTATTTTTTGTGGCCCAAAACAAACTGTTATCGTCACGGTGGATTAAGGTCTGTTATACAAGCATTTCTGTTTTTAAAATAAATATACATATCTTTTGAAAGGTTTTTAAGGATTTTCATATTTTTTCTATTTCTTTTTCACCTATGAGAGAGGAATGTGTGGTTTGATACTTAAATATTCAATCAATATTTGAACTCGGTATCTCTTGCCAATTGTTCTAAAAGTTTAAGCTGTTGGAAAAATGTGTAGTTTAATATTTAAATATTTTCAAACTTGAATTCAAACTCAAGTTGACATCTTTAATACACCTTGAGTTTGAGGGGCAAATTAGAGATTAGATATTTCCTAGAGATATTTAGGATA